ACATTCTGTTAGAATTTAGTCACTACTAACTTGAAGTAGACTGTGCTAAAAATGCATGTAAGCCGGGTGTGGTGGCACATGCCTTTAATCCCAGCACTCGAGAGGCAGAGGCAGGCGGATCTCTGTGAGTTCGAGGCTAGCCTGGTCTACATAGTGAGTTCCAGGACAGCTGTGGCTACAGGGAGACCCTGTCTCAAAAAGAACAAAAAAAAAAATATAAACTCTTGAAAAAAAAAAACTACTAATAACTTACAGCAACAAAAAGAACCCCATACACTGGTCACTAAATGACTCTGGCAGTGCTCACTGTGCCTCAGCCCACTGGTCCAAGCACTTTGCTGCCTGGGGGCTTCTGCACAGGCTTTTTGCCCTGCAGCCCCCTCCCTGGCTTTTGAATGGCGCCCTGCCATCTTCACTGAGGAGTCTTTCCTAACCACACTGAAAACAGTCTCCCTTAAGACTCTCGCACAGCCCTCTGCTCTGTTCATCATAGTACTTGACCCATTTCAAATTTGTGGATTTGTGTATGTATCTCATGCGGATCAATTTCTTTTCTACATCTCTTGAATCGAATAGGCTGGTGACAAAAGTATTGGTTTTTAAGAATTCAATTCACTGTTACCTAATCTCATCAACTGAACCAGGATTGGCAAATTTTCTTTGAAAAGGGTCAAATGCTACAGATTTTAGGCTTTGTAGCACACACCATCTCTGTTGCACATTTTTTCTTCCTTTTCTTCCTAAGAAGCCTGTAAAAATGTGAGCATTTTAAGCTTTATTTGTAGCTTGAGCACCACATAAGAACAGGGTCTGGCGCATAGGCTGTAGTTTTCCAACTCTTGCCCATACTACTGTAAGCATCTCAGGATCAAACCTGAGTTGTTACTTCTATCCACTAATACCTATAACAGTATTGAACACACGGTAAACTCAGAACTCAGCTAAACCGATGTGAGTAGACACACTGAAGAGAGGAATGGGTAGATTTAGGCTGACAGGCATTTCCTAGAGAGATATGGCACACTGCACAGGATGGATGACCAGGGACTGATAGGTACTGGGGAAAGCCAGCTTGTCACAGTCACAGGTTGTCGCCTACTATTGCCTTGAAAGTCTTCCATCTCAATGCTGCCCTCCAGGGAGCAGCTCTGCTATGGTGGGCAGCTGTCTCCTGGTGTCTGCTGTTCACTGGGGCCCATGAAAAGGAGATGTCGCTTCCCTAGAGCTGCTCTTGACCTGTGTTGTTATTCTGCCTTGCTATCTGGCTCTCTTACCACCAGCTCCCAGAGGTAAGAACAATCTGGCAAATGTGCATTCACCTCCTCAACCCCTTCCTAAAAACAATTTCTACAAGGGGGATGCAAATTTCTAATCCTGCTGTGGTTCTAACTCTAGATAACTGACCAAGGATGGAAGGATGAAGGAATGAGCAGTCGGGAAGAGGCACAACCATTCTCAGAGCTATAAGAATGTTAGTAATGGGATGCTGAAGGGTCTCCTGAGGGACCTCAGATCATAGGTACCATCTCTGTACATTAGAACAGTCTGAAGTCAGTGCTGTCTGCCTTAAGAAAGGGTGCCTTCATTTTTCTAGCATCCCCAAAGCTCAGCAGTAGCTGCCTTACTAGCTGTCTTGCTAGGCTTGGGAGACTGTGGGGATAGAGTAGGGAAGCAAAGATGGCTATTTCATGTCCTGCTAGATCGTCAACCTCCACAAAGTTGTGGAGCCACCCACAGAAGACTGGCTCTATCTCCAAGCACTTCCTTCCTCCTCTTTCACATCTTGAGATCCCAGAATAATTCCCTGTACTGTTCTTTGTCAAGTCCCTGCCACCCCATATTTACCTCCCCATCTTTATGGAAGGAAAAAAAAAAAAAAGGAACAAATGGTCCCCTGGGCATTGTAACCAAGCAAGCAGATGCTTCCAAGGGAAGGTAAGTGTGAGACATGCAACTGTATGACTGAGGAAAAAGCATTATCTAACCAAGCTTCAGTGTGCTGTAGGTAAGACTGAAGCAAAGGGATGGAAATTATATATTTAAAGCAAGCTGTGAGTTAGGGATAGAGCAGGAAACAGCATCAAAGTCCCTTGATTTATAGACCTGCCCTTATCTATCAGAAGAACCAAGCGTGTGGGCAGTGACAAGAAGGGACAAAGGAGCAAACAGCCTAGGGAGGAAAGAAATGGCAGCTTGAGGAAACATTTTGGAAAAAGTAAATTAAACCCCAAGTCACTTATAGCTGCCCTAAGGAGTGCCTGAGGATTCTCTCTCTCTGTCTTTCTCTGTCTCTGTCTCTCTTTCTTTCCCTGCCCCCTCTGATTCTATGTTTCTGAAGAAGACAATTTAAAGATAAATGAAAATAAGATTGGAAGGTATAACTTGCAACTTGGAAAGGCTAAGGTAGATAAAGAGCTGTGAGAAATACTGGATACACAATGCCCAGGAGAAAACATTCTGTAGAAAATTCAAAAGCAACAGCAACTACTGTGAACACTGAACATACTGACAGGAGAGTTGGCAGGAGTCTCGAGGTGAATGATCTTTTATCCTGAGCATCACTGCAAGTGACAGTTTCCTCTTAGTAGCTAGTAGGGCTTTGATATGGTTTGTCCCCCAAGGATTCTTGTGCTGGAGGTGTGGTCCCCAATGTAGTGGCAATAGGAAGTGGCAGAACCTTTGAGGTAAGTCAGGTCTACTGGAAAGCAGTTAAGGCACTGGGGGTGCTGAACAGGGAAAGGATTAATGTTCTCATGTAACTGAGCTGCTATGAAGCTAACCTACACAATACATTTGCACCCTTCTGCATGCAGACGGTTCCCTTTCTGTTGATCTGCCATATTATGACCTAGTCAAGGGCCTGGAACAAACAGGACCATCTAAACTTAGACCCTGGACCTCTAACACTATGAACAAAGAACCATTCTTCTTTATCAAGTACCTCACCTTAGGTATTTTGTTACTTTGCAAAGGAAAATGAATATTTTTGAGTTCCATACTAAAAATAAAGGTTAGGACTGCAGTATGTAAAAGAATGTATTTTCTCCTTATGTCTGATATGATCTGACATCAACTGAAGAACTATGGCTAGGAGAAAAAAGTAAGTTTCAGGAAAAAGATTTGTGATGTCAGGGTACTTCAAGATGAAGGAGCTGTTTGAAGTATTCATCCCATCTGTCACTGGGTTGTCCAAAGTCATTCTGGAGGCAACTCACAGCCACCACTGCCATTGCAGGCAAATGTGGACTCCTCTGGATGGGATGAGCTGGGCTAAGCAATCATCAGAAGGAATATTAGGTCATGAGAGCTAAAGTGAGGATGCAATGGGGATCTGGGTTTGGGGTAGCAGGTGAGAACAGTTCTAATTTTGAGGCTTCCTCTCCCAGCAGACTTTTGGTTGTAGGTTAAACTCCATATGTCAATATTTCCCCGAGGCCTAACACCAGGCTTCCCCATGCACACGTGAGGAAACAAGAGCAGATGGAAGCTTGATCTGGTGATTTGAACAGGTGTAGTAGGAGGCACTCCCAAGTTGAAAATCTTTTTTCTAATTCTGTATATGTACATAATTAATACAAAAATACAAAAGTGCCTTTTTCAGACAAATTTGAAAAGATAGCCCCACAACTGATGACTGCTGGGAAGGGGAGATTCAATCTTGTTTAAGGGTGAGACTCTTAGTAGGTTGACCTGACTGCAGAGATTTAGTGGTGGGTTAGTAAGGAGGATGCAGATGAGGAAAGGGATCTAAATATGATCAAAATATGTTGTATGAAATTCAAAAAAATTCAATAAAAATTAATTTAAAAGTAAAGGCAGCCCCAATGTATAATGAGCTACCAACCAGAAGCTAAGCACCATACAAGGTGGTGACTGCTGGGCACCCTGTGAGGGAAGAAGGCCCCCTAGCACAGCCAGCTCTCCACTTCTCTGTGGGGTTCAGCATGAGGTTTCACATGGAGGCTTTCCTCCACACTGTGGACATTTAAGGGCTTCTTCCTGTATGCTCCACTAGTATGAAATCAGGTTTTATAAAAAAAGAATTTGAAAACTATTTTGACCTAAATAATTACAACCAGAGAGATAAGCCTGCTGGGGAAGAAAGATCTCCCCAAGTCGGCATCTGTATATTGTCTGACATCACGGCTACATGGGGCCAAAGTATCCCTTCCTAGCATGGTTTATTGAGGCACTGAAAGGAGCCAACTCAAACCTACTGCTTTTGTCCTACCTCAAGGTGGAAACGTTGGAACTCCTTAAAGAGCAGGAGCTTGTACATCAAATTACCCAAAATGAAGGACTTGGTTATTTTATAACCTAAACCTGACACCATAGGTCACTGGCTCCTAAATAAGAAGGAAATAAAATCAAAACCATCCATTAAGAGAACACTAGGCCAATGTTTATTGATATACTACTGACTGATTATATAAAACAAACTGATTATATAAAACAACCACATTTAAGTATGACGACAACATGGACACAAGGAGATGCCTTACCATCACATTCTGTATTATATAGTGGTCAAAGTTGCAGACTTTTCACTCAATAATGACCAGAAGATCAAGATCAAGGTAAGCATGGTTTGAGTAATCTTGAAAGTACTGAGACCTGACATTGTATACATATTTTGAAACAGAAATCTGTCTAGGTAGGACTGCTCCAATTTGGCAACAGTGACATTTTGTACACAATAACTTTCTGTTGTGAGGGGCCTTTCCTAGGAGAAAGGGACACTAGGATGTTTATCTGCATTGCTGAATACTTTCCCCACTTGTGAAAATGAAAAAAAAAAGGTTTTCAGACATTACCAATGTCTTCTGAGTGGTCACCCTAGTAAGTGAGGAACAGCGGTTTGGAGAAATTTTCTCTTTATGATCACAATAAATTCACATATGCTAAAGCAAAACGGACAAAGTCCAAATACTGAACATTCTCATATTGATTATTGCATCAGAACATTTCCAAATGCATGCCAATAGCAAAAGTATACTCACTGTGTACAAGAAAACAAAAATCTTTCCACATTAGCAGCAGAGTGAGTTTTGTGAAGCCTTCAGCATCATATTCCACAACACCTCTAAGTAAGAAACATACACAAAAAACTTTATAAATATAAGGTTTAAAATGAGGGAAGTGATATAGGTAGGTGTGATGGCACATGCCTTTAATCCCAGTACTTGGGAGGCAGAGGCAGGCAGAGCTCTGTGAGATCAAGGCCAGTGTGGTCTACATACTGAGTTCCAGGCTGGTTGGGGCTACAGGAAGTTCCTGTCTCAAAAACTGCCCCCAGACAAACAAACAAAGAGGAAGGAAGTAAAGAATATATTTAATAGGTCAGGGCAATTGAGCCTTAGGTAGATTTCAGTCATAGAGGCATCAGGAAGGGGTTTGTGTTTGGAATGAGAACACTGAGCTTCAAATGGGCCTTGCCATTTACCTGTCAGGACCTCAAGCAAATCACTGAACCTTTGGCAACTCAACTTCTTCATCTAGCAGGCAATTATAATAATTATCAATAAACTTATTAATAGGACTGTGAAAAACAACTAAGATAAATCATAAAATGGAAACTCATTAATAGTTATGAGTAAAGGGACAAATTAAGAAACTAGAGAGCAATGATACCACAATACCAAATGTCACTTTATGACTATACAATGAGCTTTAAATCTCATCCTACCTGGAGACTAAACAGAAACGACACTGATATCATTATTAACTTTGGGATTGTATGGTAATCCTTTCATTCGTCCCCTGGCCTCTAAAGCAGCAACATCAGAGGTAGACTTCACATGGAGTAACATTAAAAGAGAGTGATATTTTAAAACAAATGGAAATTCAATTTTCATATATTTCTTATACCTTAATGGAGTTGTGTAACCTCCAGGGTAGGTATATCTTACTTTAAAGGTAACTGTGCTAGCTTTTCATTTTCAATTATATATGCTCTATCTATATACAAAATCAACATTTAGAAGATCAATAATATTACCACTTCTTGTATGAAAAAGTTATCTTTCAAAATGTTCATAAAGAAAGCTGAAAAAAATGAAATGAGAGACTCGTGTGAGAGACAGCCATAGTGTTTGGATATTGACATTTCTGTGTGGGATAACTGAAAAGCTTCATAATGGTTAATGAGAGAATTCTTTGACAGTTTTTCAGGAGTCAGAATTTTTGTTTATAGCTGTGCTATGGTGTGAAAATAATATCCTAAGGAATGGCAAGTTTTATTCTTGGTTTCATTTGTTCTTCCCTATTCCCGGTTTCCCGTGGTCCTAATTTCTTCATTTACTTATCTGAAACTGAAGTTTTATGTTACTGTATATCTATTTCCATCATTTACTTCTGGAGTAAGGTGACATTTGTTATCAGAGTACTGAAATCTCTAGTGCCAAATGAAGGACAGAATGCTCCACCTTTAAAGGCTATGAAGAAAATGTATTGCTGTCCCATTGTGCTAAGCCTCAACAGAAGTGTATAAGACCCATGATGGCATTTAGATGAAATAGGGTTATGAGTAGCATGGCCTCCAGCATCCAGAGGAAAGGTAAAAGCACACAGCAGTGGTAGAAGAACCACTCCGTGCCCTGCCTGCAGCTATATGCTTCCTGTTTTCCTCTTTGCACCACCTTTTAACTCCCCCTTTTAAGTATGTTAACACTTCAAGGTGTCATGTTCCTTTCCAAAACTGTGAGGCACTGTTGGTGGTGGAGATCCATCGGGAGACCTAAATCCTGAAGTAATACGTTCCTGCCTTAGTTCCCCTCTTCTACCTGTATGAGAAATAAAATGTGTTTAAAAATGCCTGCCTGAACTCTCCTTGATGTCCACCAACAGATGAATGGATAAAGAAGATATGGTATCTATAGACAATAGAATTTTTATTCAGCTATAAAGGAAAATGAAATCCTGACACTTAAGAGGAAAATGGATAGAACTGGAAGTCATTATGTTAAGCAAAATAAGCCAGACTCAGAAAAGACAAATACCACATGTTTTCTCTCATATGTAGAATCTAGACTTAAGTATATGTGTGTGGGGCCAGGTGTGGTGGTGCACGCCTTTAATTCAAGCACTCTGGGAGGCAAAGGCAGGAGAATCTCTGTGAGATTAAGGCCAGCCTGGTCTATATAGTGAGTTCCAGGCCAGCTGGCTACAGGGAGACCCTGGTCTCACAAAACTCAAAATGTGTGTGTGTGTGTGTGTGTGTGTGTGTGTGTGTGTGTGTATACACAGATATCATGAAAAGCAGAAAGGGGAACATGAGAGGAAAGGAAGAGATCTTAAGGAAGGAGTGTGGGGAAAAATAGAGGGTGATGGAACACATGTGACATGAAAGCAGAAAAGTCTACTTGGGAGGATAAATGGGGTCAGCATGAGAGGAACAGAGGTGTGGGGAACATACTAGGGGAGGGCAACAAAGAACAAAGTATAGTAACGTGTGTATGTAGAAATGTCATAATGAAACCCATTACTTTGTATGCTAATTTAAAAATTAATTTTAAAATGAGCATAGGAAAAAAAGGCCTTCGTGGTTCACCTCGGGACTAGTAGAGGACTAGAAGGTGAAGAGCAGTGCACACTACCAAAGCTTCACCAGAAGCAGGCCTTACCCCCAGGATGGCTGCAGGGAGCACTGTCATGGTAGCTGTGTTTGGGAGAGGCGTGCTACTGCTCAGAGAGAATATTTGGTTATATTTTGGCTAAAGAATGCTAAAAAAAATTTAAAAAAGCCATCCTGGAGGTCTAGAGTAAGCACCAAAACAAAAAGAATCAAAATGCCACTGAGAAGGTTCCATATATCAGAATAAAGTGCAGTGCTGGTGTATGGTTTAAACAAGGCAGAACTCACGTGCCAAAGTGGCTGAGGAAGGCAGCAATGTATTCCCTTCTTTTGTGATATCCTTGAATCACATACTGGACCTGGAATGGGAACCCAAAGAGGAGAATTAACATGGAAAAACCTAAAATGCTTTACTATGAAAACTTCAAAGATCCAGAGAAGTAGGAAGAATGGAAAAATGCATACCCATATTGCCATGGCCTATACTCAACAACTATGAAGATTTTGCCTAGCTGCTTCATCTAGCCATCTATGTACCTACATATCAACCTATCAATCAATCTTGCTCTAACATTTCAAAGGAAGTTGGAGACATCCTGACAGTTCATCCTAAATACTTCAATATGCAACTCTAAAAAAATTAGACATTCTCCTATGAAGCAACTGGCATACCCAACAGGTTTAGTGATAACTCTGATGTAATCTAGTAGCCTGCTCATGTCTAAATCTTCCTTACTGTCCATAAAACATTGCTTCAAAGGCAGGGTACAATGCAGGATCATGTATGTTATTTATGTTTTTAAATCTTTCAATCTATAATAAGAGTGTGTGCCTGTGAGTTTGTGTGTGTGTATGTGTGTGTGTGTCCCAGTACAAGTTTGCATAATGACTGTCTTTTCAAAGAGATTGGGTTAACTGTCTTATAGAATGTTTCAATTTTCTGACTGTTTACTTCTTTTTTTTTTCCTTTACCTTCTGTATTTCCTATACATTAGAGGCTAGAGTTAAAGCTGTGACTGGATTTAGGTTAAAGGTTTTTGCCAAGAAACATTCATAGGCAATACAGGGCTTCATCATTTGTTAAAGTGATAACAACCAGATCACTCCATTGTGAAGGGATGCTCTCCTTGGCCATAGTGAGTATATGACATATGTATGTACACAAACATACACACTCCTCATATCCCACAGTAACCATGGCTATATCTCCTGAAGTATGTGAAGAGCTATTTTCCCATCTATCATTCACTTAATGATTTTAGTATCAGTTGGGAGATTCTTGTTTGAATTATTTAATTTGGGGTAAAAAAATGGTGATTAAAAATTCTATTCTTTTTCCATTTATCAGCAGTCACTCTCTATAAAGAAAGCTCTCATCAAATGGGGTGGGGTTTTTTTTGTTTTGTTTTTTTCTTTAATTCCCATTAAAAAGATATGCAAAAAAGAAAAGAAAGGGTAAGCTAATGCTTAATTCTTAAAAAACCCTAATATTAAGAATGAAGTATTACATTTTGTGTTGCATCTCTTTATTTCCGTATTAGCACAGAATGGCAGTTTTTAGTAAATGCATTTAACTAAGTACCTAGAAGTTAGTTGTTTATACAGTAGCTTCTATCATGGAAACACGCTCCTCATCATGGCTGATAGAAATAGAGAGAAAGGGGGACTCCCAAACTGTTTATACTGGCTGAGCCACAATATGTTTCCATGGCTAACGAAAGCTTAACATAAAGTACTTGGAATAACCTTGACACAACTGGTATGGATAGCCATGTTGAACCTTTTGTAAGTAAAACAATTCTATTTATATAATAGGGGTTTATGTCAATTTACAAAAACAGTGCTTACTTTGCAGGCTTAATGCAGGATCAGATGTTATTTTCGGAAAAGAAAAACAGATGATAAGTTTGCTTAAGTGGCTTTGTTTAAAAAAGGGATGAAAACAGTTCTGTATACTTGATTTTAAAAACAGAAAAGCATTTTAACAGAAACCCACAACAAAACTGGCTATAAAGATAGATTCCGATGTAATTATGGATTCATTTGAAGAGATTGTTCCTAAAAGCAGCCCATACTGTCCTCGTTTAGAACAAACAGAAGAACACCAATTTTAAAGACAAGTAAAATTAATGGAAGGGACTCAGATAAGAAAAACAGACTGATTTTTATATTTCTGAGAAAACGATATTATAATTTTTTGAGGAAAATGTATGACTAGAAATTAATCTCAATTGGGGAGCTTTAAAAAGGCTTTTCTTCTCAGTTCTGGAAGATCCTATTTGCATTTTTCTCTATAATTCTGGGATACAGATTTGAAGGCAGTACAAAGTCCCAGAATATAAATAAGAAAAGAATCCTGCCCTCCACTCCAGCTTGGATTTGGTCTCAGGAGAAGCCACCGCTCACTGAGAGCTAAGTGATCTGGAAGCTGGGCCAGGCCCACATGCTACAGCCTTGCCAGATTTCAGTTTCTCTGACATTTGAAAAATAATACTGAAGCCTCTGAAATATTATTGTTCTCTGAAAATATGTCCTATATAGAGATGAGCTATCTTCCGAATGAGAAAGATAAACAAAAGATCTATTTCCCCAGCCAATATGAACAAGTCAACAGGAGCAAAAGACAGCACTTTGGCAATTAAACCAACTGAGTCACAGTCCATGTGGGAAGGGAAAGAGAGCCAGGGTCACTAATGTGCTAATATGTCTAGTTTTCAGCTAATTATGATGACTAGACTTTAACAAGAGCATTTTCACATTTTTTGGAAGTATCTAACAAACAACAGCACAGTAAACTCTGCTACGTGCTCATGAATACAGTTAAGGAAAGCTTCAGATAATTCGATATGGCTGGGTAGAAGACCAGCAGACATGAAATTCTTGCCTCTAAAGGAACAAGACTCTAGTCAACTGCCCCCAGTCATGACAAGAATCAAGGACTGATGATTAATAGATGAGGTATAGGAGGCAGAAAGAGATGAAGACAGTTTAAAGAATTACCCTGACCGTAGCTGGTTGTACACACATAAGAGACACATGCATACAGTGGATGACTGGAAAGGAAGAAGTTCACAAATGTAAAATCATAGAAAGGTGCAAGATGCAGCAAAATTTGGGGGAAAAGGGAAAGGTAAGGAAGAGTTGACTTCAATCTCCAGATACAAAGGGAAGAGATGAAGATAAGACTGGAGGTCAGGATCGTTAGAAAAGGAAGAGGAAGACGAAGAAGTAGGAGAACCAGATGAATTGGAATTCAAAACAGAAAAGGCAGATGTCAGAAAGAGGCTGAAAGAAAGATGTTCTGAGGTGGCTGTACATGTACCATGGGTCTGCAGCTGTGGTAGACTGGAGGAAGGATGCTTATAGACAGAAGAGTCAGGGGATTTGTGTTTACCTTGTTTGTGAGCAGGTGGCACACTTGAGGAACATAATCAATGAGACATCCTCCTCCTGGGAAAGCAGGGATATGAAGAGCTGAGGAGCCTCCAAGTGCACTGAAAGGACAAGAGCACAAGGAACTTCTCTTAGGGCTGAAGCACTTAGGACGTGATACCCCCAAACACGCTTGGCATTGCTCACCAATGTCCGGTTGCCAGCACCATGGATTAATGATGATGGGAATATGGACTTCACTTTATGATTCAATTTCTGTATTTAAACTCATTTTGTTACATTAGCAGGTTACACATCATTAAGAACAACTAAGGATCTTATCACTCAGCAATATAAATTAGCCACTTCTGATCAGCACAGGTAAATGTCTCAACAGTACTGTGTAAGCCCAAACATTTTCTTATAGTCCTTACTGTGTCTAGTTTAGTGCTGGACAGAGATATCCATTAAACACCTGACCTAAACTATAATGCATCAAAGAAACTAGTTCTATACTTTATCAGTTCTGTAAACTTGAATTGTAAAAGGTATACAAGAAAAAAGTGAACAAATGATATAGTCAATAATCATTGATCCAATCAATCACCGAGACAGTTTTGCTTCAGAAAGTTTCCAGAACTTTCACATAGGTGAAACTTGTCCCACTGAAATTAGTCAACACACAATTCTTAGAAGAAAATGTTCAGAACATTACAGTATACATTTTACTGATCACCCTCAATCTTTCCTTATGCCTTCCTTTGTTTCTTATTTTTTTATTTTAATGTATATATTTCTATAAACTCCTTAAATATCCCTGTAATACGCTGGGATAGAAAATAAAAAATATCCAGACCCCTTAATCCTGTGATTATTTATTTTTCAAGATCCCCCAGCTACAGATTGTAAATGAAGTAAAGGTTGTCATAGTAACTGCCTAGAAACTCCTTTCTAATGAGTGCAGGGCACGGTGACTCAGTCTAGGGCTTGTGACACAGGGAACACATCGAACTCTAGATACATGTTCCATGGACTGCAGATTTCTGATGTCAATTTTTCTGGTAAAGATGAATTTTATATTTGTCTTTGGGAATGAAAAACCCCAACAAACAAAATCTGGGTGATGTGAAGAGGTTGACGTAGAGGAATAATATTTAATACTGAGGTTTTGGACTCAGTTGATACCTGAAAGCACAGAAATTTTGATAATGAGAACAGTACAAGGCAGCATGTGGCTTGGTATGACACTGATGGATCATCTACGCTATGCAACCACATGGGATCAGGAAGACCAACGACTCCTTCCACTACTCTTAGCGTAGACATCATTAGGTTAAATCAATTTAACATAAATGCTGAAGAAGGCCAGGGAAGCTCCTGTGATAGCCAAGTGGAGGCCAGCTTTTTGTCTTTGCTTTTATATGAGCAAGGTACACAGAAGGCACATCCTTTGACAGAAAGGATTCCATTAGGATGGAAAACTGATCAAGAAGCAAGTTCTGTAGAACATGAAACAGGAGTCCAATATTTATACCCTGTGGTTGCTTGTTAAATATACCTATGATATAGACAATGCAAAGATCCAGGTTACTGACAGCTTACTCAGAGAAACAATCTTTGGCATTATAAAATTCCCCAAGTGAAAATAATTTGGACAGTTCCCTGGAACTGGTTGATTGCAATAGATTTTGTCTTGTATAAAATATTATAGGATAACTCTTTATTCATTCCTTAAATTGCATACAAAGAAAATGGTCTGTAGACAATCCTCTGAATCTCAATCTCTCTCTCCTCTCTCTTTCTCTCTCTCTTTCTCCCCCTTACCCCCTCTCATTCTCATTCTCTCTCTTTGAATTATGCCATTCTGTAACAAGCCATCAAGCCATAAAGCAAAAAAATTCCCTATGGTGATGGAAAGAAACAGATGTGAAGAATCCAAAGCCCAGCTGTTTGCTTGTTTCATACTGTCTCTCTGCTTATCAAGAACCAATACTTGTTGCTAGCTATTCTATCATGTTATCTAATTTAGCCTTCCCTATAGCTCGGTGAAGTGAAAATAATCATTGTCATTTTACAGGTAAAGAAATCAAGGTTTGAAGAGCACAGGAAACTGTCTGAGGTTTACACAACTAGTCATCGGTCAAACCAAGATTGGCACACAGGTCTGTCTGCCTGTCACCAGAGTCCTTGCTGCTTCTGCTGACACTTTGCTTCCTAAGAGGAGGGTGAATTTAATCACAAACTGCTACAGGTTTGGGAAAAATAACTGATGCAGATCCCTCAAGTCCTCTGGGTCAGGATGGTGATGAGGAGAAAGGCTCCCTAAGATACTTAAAGCAGAGCATGGCTCAGCTCCCCGTGTACTTGTCTTTAGAGCAGGTGGGCCAGCATTCCTCTTCATGGACCTCAGCATTCACCCACACCCCCTCAACAATCAGATTTGCCTGATCCTGGATGTGATAAACCCACCAACTCTCTGAACCACTTAGAAAGTTGTGTTTAGCTGGCTGAAGCACTTCAGGTATTATGAAAGACAGTTACAGTTTTAACTCAGCATATTTTTTTAAAGGATGCTTGTTTCACCCTTTGTTTAACTCAGTAGTTTCTTAGCTGTTAGGGTACAAAACCTAACATCCAGTGTTATACACTGATAAATGCTGCTGATTCACACATGAATAGCCACTCATGGGTAAATATTTAACAGGTTTGCTATAGCCTGAATCTTACCCCGATCATGTGAATAAACAAAGACCAATGCTGCGAAATAAAAGCACTATTATATTTTCAGAGGGTGGAAGGTAAAAGTAAGTCCTTGTACTCTCCATTTGATGAACCAAAGAAAGACTGGGCCAAACATACAGGAAATGTACCCTATGCAGAGATTCCACGGCTTGTTCAGATATTGCCAGGAATGCAAGGCTGGAGGGAAGAAGTTAGGACTGACCAACCCCTAAGTAGCTGTGCTGGGCAGGGGTGAAGGAGATGAAAGAGTCCCTTGGTGCTGTTCTTTCTGATCTCTAGAGCGGAGTAGTGAGGAGGCAGGGGTAAAAAGGTGAGGGAAAGTGGGTATGGAAGGACCTCAAGCTGAACTTGAGAGAAAGGTGAAAGGGATGTTTTAATGAGATACCTTCTAGTTATATTTTTTCATGGACTAAAATGAAGCACAAAGTTAGGTGATAATTCTTAGAGATGAAACTAAATTGGTGTATATAAATTAGGTCAGAGTTTGGAAATCATTTCTACCAATGAAGTTAGTTAAATAGGCCAACCAATAACCAAAAAAGTAATTACAGCTGTCTCCTTGGCTCTTAGATAATCATAGAAACTATCTTCTGTTGAAGATATTAATATATTCTTTTCCATGCAAATAAAGCTGACAGAGCCCTTTGTGAACCTTAGTCAGAGTGTCTCTAACACTAAAGACTTGACTTGGCTGCAGTGTGACAACAGAAAGGAATTGTTTTGACATGGCAAAATGCAAGGAGCCAGCCTGTCTGAAAGCCTGACTTGGGACAGTGGAGTTTGACACTGACCCATGATGAAACAGCAACTCCCTAAGCAAAAAGAGGAAACCATCATATAGACTAGAGAAAACCAGAAGGGCGGGGGGGGGTCTCAATTCTTGTTCGCTCCTATGAGTTCTCTCAACTCAATATTTTTGTCAGGGAAAAGGAGACAACACCCTTTCAAGACAGACCAATTCTCAAGGCAGTAACAAAAGAAGCATAACACCAGAGTTATACTAATATTCAAATAGCACCATGTACTTCAAAAGAAATTTCATACTAAAATGGCTCTAGGGTGAGTGGTTCCTGTCCAAAGTCCAGATGAGATACTTTCAACAGTTTCAGTGCCCTGATCATGCTCTTGACTTGACTGAGGGACAAGGAGTTGACCAGGCTACCTCTTACACAGAACGGTTCTGAGGAGTGTGAGAGGTTGGTGTATATAAATGGGAATTTCCAGGACCATAAACAGATAGGTTGCCCCTAGCTCCAAGCTAATCCAACAAGCATCAACTGTATGCTTAACGGTTTTAAGGACTTCAGTTTCCCATCCTATGTGACCAGAATACCACCATGGTAAGTCCCTTTGTGGTAGAAGAAAGCTAGGGACCTCAAGAAACTGGGGTACTCCATGATACCAGAGTGTATTTCCTGGTGGTCTGTCAGGACAGTCATTATAAAACAAGTCACTGACATTTAGTGAAAACCAACTTTGGCCAGGCAGTCCATGATCTCTAAACCTCACAACAACCCTGCCAAGTAGATTTAAGTAGACCAATTTACAGGTGAGAAAAGTGAGGCTGTAAAGTTTAAGTATCTTATCCAAGATAACCTAGCAAGTACACTATAAAGATGGTCTTGAGCCCATGTCTTTTTGGTTCCAAGCCTGTGTCCTTTTCCATCAGGAATTCTTCCATCAAAAGATATGCTTCCACTGAATGTTCTAAAGACTATATCTTGAACTGGGACTGGTGATGCATGCTGTATTGAGGTTGGCCTGGCCTAGAGTGAGTTCCAGGCAAATCTGGGCTACAGTGTAAAATCCTGTCTTAAAGGACCCCACCCCATACTCCTTACTTATATACTAAAACAGTGGTATTGCCTGCAAAGTTTTTAAAAAAATATTTTATTTATTATTTTTATTTTATGTGTATGTGTGTATTGCCCACATGTAGGTAAGTGCACCCATGTTGTGCAAAGCCCACGGAGAACAGAAGAGACTGTCAGATCTCCTGGAACTGGAGTTATGGACAGCTGTTAGCTGACATGCAGGTGCTGAGATTCAACCTGGGTCTTCTACAAGAACAGTCAGTGTTCTTAACCATTGAGCCATCTCTCCAGCCCCTTGCCTGCAAAATTTTAAATAGTGGTATTAGTTGTCTGAAAAGCTTTTATCTATGAGCTTTATCCATCACATTTGTCACCTTCTCAGTTTAATATATACATGTCCCACTAGTGTGATTAAACATTTTATTTGTAGATTCTGAAAACCCAGGAGGACATCAATGGTAAATTAAGAAGCGGCCCTGATTTGTTTGTTTTTTATTTATTTATTTATTATTCTTTTTAGTAAAACAGTTTCTAGACCTGTTGTTAGCCCTTTACTTCATTTTATG